ACTACACAGCTCAATGCAACAGAACAAGAGAGCCCAGTCATAGACTTTTGATAATGGAGCAAAGGCAGTACGGTGGGAAAATTAATCTTTTCACCACATGGTACTGAAACAACTGAACTTCCCCGTGCAAATAAAAATGAATCCAACCAGGGGCACCTGCGTGGCTCTGTCGGTTAAGCATCTGACTCTTGGGTTAGGCTCAGGTCATGATCTCATGGTTTCGTGAGTTTGAGCCCCGTGTTGGGTTTTGAGTTGACAGTGTGGAGCCTGCTTGAGATGCTCTTCCTCTCCCTCTGACCCTCCTCTGCTCTCTCTCTGTCTCTCTCTTAAAGTAACTTAAAAAAAAAAAAGGAAACAAATAACTAAAAATTTTGTTTGTAAATGGATGTACCAGTCTAAACCCTTAATATCTATGAAATCTTATATTAACAATGATTATGGGATGAATGGTATGCTCCTGTACATTCACATATGTGAAGATATATAGTTATATTATTGTTTTGAAAAGAAAGGCAAAAAAAAAACTTGGCCTTTATTATTCTACCTTTGCTTACCACTATCAACAATAGCCAAATTATGGAAAGAGCCCAAATGTCCATTGACCGATGAATGGATAAAGATGTGGTGTGTGTGTGTGTGTGTGTGTGTGTGTGTGTGTGTGTGTATATACACACACACAAATATATATATATACATATATATTTCATATTTCATACACACACACATATATATATATGAAATGAAATATTACTCAGCCATCAAAAAAAGAGTGAAAACATGCCATTTGCAATCATGTGGAACTACAGGGTATTATGCTAAGCGAAATAAGTCAGTCAGAGAATGACAAATACCATATGATTTCACTCATATGTAGAATTTTAGAAACAAAACTCATGAACATAGGTGAAGGGAAAAAATAAAATAAGATGAAAACAACAATGAAGGCAAACTATAAGAAACTAAGGGTTGCTGGAGGGGAAGTCAGCGAGGGGGAGGAGATACATGGGTGACGGGCATTAAGGAGGGCACTTGTGATGAGCACTGGGTGGTATATGTAAGTGATGAATCACTAAATTCCACTCCTGAAACCAAAATTACACTATATGTTAACTAACAAATTTAAATAAACTCTTGGAAGAAAAATATGGTATGGCCTTCCATTGTTCTTCAGGGGACGATCCTTTTCTCTGAATTCTCAGAAAATAAGTGAATTCCAAACACAGTGGTGAACAAGGTTAATCTCATTCTCTTTTTATTTATTCTCCTTTCTTTTTTTGTGTGTACCATTGCAATTTCCCAATTAATAGGAGCGTGGCAGTTATAAAACTGCAAAGAACACATATTTTGAAAGCTTCCATTGTTGTCGCCTTAACCTTTAATTTCCAGCTTCCAACTTTTTTATTTTTTTATTTTTTTTTAATTTATTTATTTTTTTTTATTTATATATGAAATTTATTGTCAAATTGGTTTCCATACAACACCCAGTGCTCATCCCAAAAGGTGCCCTCCATAAATGAATAAATGATCTATGATATTTTTGAATCTACAAGTAGAAGAGAGAAATAGTTTAGTGTCATAATTTGGTAGAAAACAAAATTTCCGTTCAAAAATACTTAAAGGAGAATATCACTGTTTCTCCTATTTTTGAACATTTATCAAATTGAAAAAAGAAAGCAAAACTGAAAGGAAAAATTTCTTTACTTCAAGGACATGTCCAATATTTTGATACGTGTACCGAGTATGCCATCTTCCAAATATGATCTACAGCTCTGGCATCCTTCTAAATCCCTCGCCATTCATTTTTGACTTTAAGCTTAAATTCAGGAAGTCTGAAAAGGAACACAGTTCTTGCATTTTTAATTTATTTCTCTTCTACATCTCCTATGTCAGTGGTCTTCAAGTCTCACAGACATTGACCAGTAGGCACTCTGCATAAATATTTTCACAGTGAGACTCAGAAAACTGCATTTAACAGACAGTTTAAGGGAGTGTTAATCTGATGACTCTTGTTCTTCATTTTAGAAACAGTTCTCTTATTTATATTATACTCCTTGACACTGATGATAGAAGCCGATCTCAAATTCCAGTCTTTCCCCCACCCCCAAACAAATTGGCCCCTTGACTTCACACCTTCATTATCCATTTCTGGTTCAGATTGAAGGGTTTTGCCATCCTTATCATTTGTGGTGTCATTTTCCATAAGTAGTTTTGTTTATGCCATTCTCCTACAAAAAATCTTGCATTTTATTTCAAGAGATATAATAAGTAAATAACTATCAGCAGAGTTATTAGACCTTCTATAGTTTGGCTGTATCCTTTTTTGAAAACTTGACTGCATGCATATATAGCTCTAGCACTGAAATTTATTTTGGGACTCAATTATGCTGGAAAATCCAAAATGACTCATTGCGCTGGCTGGCAGTTGAAGTTAGCTGATGTTGGAGAGCCATAAAGGGACTCACTGTCGAACTGACTGTCTACGTTGGGTCTCTCTGTATGGCTTGGGCTTCTCACAGTATGGCTGCTCTATTCAACAGAGAAGGGAATAGAAGCTGCCATTAAAGATTATGTGCAGGATTGGCAAAGAACTTGTTGGCAAAACATTTACAGGAATTGGATTCAATGGGCTAGGAACAGAGTGCCCATCTCTTGACAAGAAAGGCGGTCATGTCACATTAAAGAAGAGCATGTGATATGGATGTCTTTAGAGAATGTAATCTTCCACATCCTACCTTCCAGCTTCAGCAATTCTTTTCACCCTCACATACAATGTATTCTCACCCCATCTCCCAAGAACCCTAAACTCTCATCCTATTTTCCATGGTTTGAAAGTATCCCTCCACCTCCCCCCGACCCCCAAATTCATGTATTGAAACCTAATGCCCAATCTAATTGTTTTAGGTGTGAGAACTTTGGAGGATAAAGCCCTCAAAAATGGGATTAGTGTTCTTATAAAAGAGACCCTACAGAGCTCTCTAGTCCCTTCTGCCATTGTGAGAACACAACAAAAAGATGATAATCTATGAACCAGAAAGTGGGTCCTTACCAGATACCAAATTTACCGTTGCCTTGACCTTGGACTTCCTAGTTTCCAGGACTATGAGGAATAAATGTTTGCTGTTTAAAAACTATTCAGTCTATGATTTTTGTTATAGTAGTCCAACCATTTGGATTAAGGCTGTATTATAGCATCAACTCAAAGTCCAGAACTTTGAGATCTAAATCAGACCCTGTTTTGGGTAAAGCTTCACTCAAATATGAATCCTCTCAGTCTGGAGTTTTCTGAATGAAAGGGGCAAGTAATAAAGCTGGCTCCCCTCCAACATTCATGGTAGTACAGGGAAAGAACAACTTTGATGAAAAGTTTTTGATTAGGGCCTAGTCTTGCTTTGGGGGAGTTTTCTTCATGGCTCTAAATTTTTTTCTTTAAGCTTTTATCTTAACAAACTCACTCTTCCTTTCAGCAAGAAGTGGCCTATATTTATAGCTAGGTAGTTCTCTCAGCCTTCTTACTTTCAGAAGGTTGTCAGTCCCAAACTTGCTTTTGATTTTGACCACCTGTTGCAACTTCTGACCCAAGACTATGGTGCTCCTGTTTCAAAATTTCTCTTTGAAACTGGGTTTCCTATGGATCTTTTGGTAGTAGTCTCTTTTAAACAAAAAGTCAAGCCCTGATAACGATTTAAGGGTTATAAATCTTTATAAATGGATTCCTCTCTACATTGGTCTGCGAACCCTGGTGTTGAGGGCGACCTCTTTAAGATTCTTGGGAACCATTTTGGAGAGAATGTTAGGCACATCCTTAAGAGTCTTCAGAAAACACTACCTATAAGAGAACCTAGGAAGCATGCATGCCCTTACTACTCTTAAAGGAAAATTTGTGTAGTAAAGAAAGTTTACAAGCAACCACCTTATATCCTTTTGAGATCTTAGCCAAGTGTCTCACAGCTACCAACTTGATTTTAAAATTATTCTAAGGTGGGGGCACCTGGATGGCTCAGTTGGTTAAGCTTCTGACTTCGGCTCAGGTCTTGATCTCCCAGCACGTGGGGTTAAGCCCCACGTTGGTCTCTGTGCTGACAGCTTAGAGCCTGGAGCCTGCTGCTTCAGCTCCTATGGCTCCCTCTCTCTCTGCCCCTCCCCTGCTTGCACTCTCTCTGTCTCTCAAAAACAAATAAACATTAAGAAAATTTTAGAAAATAAAAATAAAATCACTCTGAGGTCATGTTTTACACATCAACCCTGGCGTTGAGCTTTCCCCTAAGATCATTTTTACGTTAGAAACATTTAATTGGGTAGAAGGACTCTCCTAGTCCCTCAATTTGTCCTCTAAATTTTGCTAAAATATTTAAAGTATTCCTCTTCCCTTTATCTCAATAAACTATCTTGTCAGACACAGCTAACCGGTTGGCCTGAACAATCTGTTTATACCAATTCATAGACTCATAAAGTTAAATGTTTATTTTTCACATTGATGCAGGCAATAGTTTTGCTAAATATTCTGGCACCACAGACATATGATCATAGGAACCTATGAGAACATATGAGCCTCCCATCTCCATATCCTTTTAGTTTCTCATGGTCTTCTTGGGGTCATTCTTGCTTCTGCTAATTGCCTAGACCCTAGATTAATTTTATGGCACCATCACAGCAACTTTCTATGGTGGATCATTTACACGGCTGGTTCTCAGTTGCTAGTTCCTTAGATGCTGTTACGGAGAATCCACATATAACCTTTTAAGCGATATGGTTTTCTCCGTATGGCTCCCAAGTTTTAAAAGGTAGGATGCAGAAACGCTAGGGTATTTGAGGGCTGTGCCTGTACCTGACCCTTTCACTGGATTATATTGGTCAAAGCCCTCTCAGAGCCTGCACAGATTCAAGCGTGGAAAGATTGTTTCTAACACTTAGTGAAGAAACTGTAAGATCACAATGGCAAAGAGCAGGAAGGATGAGACTTGGAAGAACACACTTGTACTTAGAAAACACTGTCATGGGGCGCCTGGGTGGCTCAGTCGGTTAAGCATCTGACTTTGGCTCAGGTCATGATCTCGCGGTCCGTGGGTTCGAGCCCCACGTCGGGCTCTGTGCTGACAGCTCAGAGCCTGGAGCCTGTTTCAGATTCTGTGTCTCTCTCTCTCTCGGCCCCTCCCGTTAAAAAAAAAATAAAAAAAAAAACAAAACACAAAACACTGTCTTTCATACATCCTGCTTAAAATGATCCTCCTACCTGAACTGTAGGCCCATGCTCCAACTCCACTGCAAACATTAAGTATTTTGACTAAATATTTACTAATGGCATATATTGTTTCAGAAACTGTGCATCATCCTGAATATAGTGGTCAAACGATCAAAAAGTTGCCAACATGAAATAACTAATGATGTAATGGCACCAACACTTACTCAGTTGTGATGTTTATTATGAAACCTAAGACCTTCTAATTCTCCTTCCTTTCAGGGTGTCCTTTCCTTTGCTTGCGTGCTTTTGCTGTGGCTTACTAAAGGTTTCTAGAGTCTATTATTTATCCTTATCATTACGGAATTTTCACAATGGTTTTGGGGAAGGGTCTTTATAACTTGCTGTGCTAGGCAAAAGCTGGTCCCTTGCTAGCTGAAGACTTTCTATTTCAGAAAATATCATTGAATTTCAGTGATGAGTTTCCTCGCTTCAACTTTTGTGTTTTTCTCTTGTTATAATACGTGTAATGCAGTTGTAGAAATGTCAGCATTGATTGATTACCTATAGCTCTTATCTTTTCTAACACTTTTAATCTTTGTCATTTGATTTTGTCTTGGAAAGTTCACTCACTATAGCTGCAAAAATTCTACTTTTTTTTAAATATTTTTTTTCTCTACCATTTATATTTTTAATCTGAGTTTTGTTATGCCTCTAATTCTATTACTTCCATTTTCACTGCATGAATTTCTAGCTTTATTACTTCATTTCTTCTTCTTCTTTTTTTTAACCTAGTATTCTTCTTTTATGTTTTAGGGTTTATTTTTTTCAGTTATCTGTTAACATATGCTAGTCTGTTAATTGTTAAGATTGAGAAAATCTTGATGCCACCATGAGTCCATGGTCAGAAACTTTTAGGTCAGTCTCTGGACAAAGACAGCATTTCCCTGAATCACTCAGGGAATATAAGGGTTTTAAAGAGAACAGATAAAATGTCTCTATGACTATAAATTTTCTTTTCTTTTCTTCTCTTTCCTTTTCTTTCCTTTTCTTTTCTTTTCTTTTCTTTATATTAAATATAATTTATTGTCAAATTGGTTTCCATACAACACCCAGTGCTCATTCCAACAGATGCGCATCACCCACTTTCCCCTCTCCCCCATCCCCCATCAACCCTCAGGTGTTCTCAGTTTATAAATTTTAAAATGCTTTGTGCAAAAATGAAGTGAGAGCGTGTCAATTCTGAGTTTAGGTCTTCTCAAAAGGCCTACGCAGGTTTTGCTGTCTGTCTTGTAGCCCAGTCCAACTACAATGAGAACACGCTCAGGCCTAACTCCTAGTGAATGAGAGATCATATGGACAGTGTTGAGCCTTCTAAACCACCCTGTATGGCGAGCCATCTGCCAAGCCCTGGAAAATATCCACAGACAAATGAATTCGAGTGGCTAAAACCGAAAGAACCACCTAGCTGGGTCCACCCCAAATTGCCAAACCATAGAACTTTGAGCTATATAAATGACAATTGGTTTAAGACACAAAGTCTTGGAGAGCTTTATTTTGAAACAAGATTTAATTGATACAGTCCTCTCTACACCATCCACACCTTTGTGAATAAGCTCTGCAATTAAATCTTCATCGGATGGTGTTTTCATGTCAGATCAATTCCTTCCTGCTCCCTGATTGATATAATTATGATCGATAAAATGCTTAGGATATATCACACAGAATGTAAAGGGACCACTGTATCTCTCAACACAGTGCATTTCCCTGTACGTATGTCAATTGCTTCCTTTTCTGGATGGCACATAGGAATATTTTGACTTATTTCAGGTTTATTGATATTCTCATTTTGCACATCCAATGACTTTGACTTAATTCTCGGACTGATCAAATTTGGGTATATTGAGAGCATTGAACATTCTAAATATGGCTTAAGATTTAGTACCATGCAGGATATTGGAAATGACTTCCATTATCCTCATTAGAACACACCCTGTCTCATTTTTCTATATTTGCAATGGAACATAGAGAATCCTAGCACAAATTTCATGGCACATCATAAGTCAATAGTATTTTATGTTATCTTTTTTTTTTAACGTTTTATTTTATTTTTGGGACAGAGAGAGACAGAGCATGAACGGGGGAGGGGCAGAGAGAGAGGGAGACACAGAATCGGAAACAGGCTCCAGGCTCTGAGCCATCAGCCCAGAGCCCGACGCGGGGCTCGAACTCACGGACCGCGAGATCGTGACCTGGCTGAAGTCGGACGCTTAACCGACTGCGCCACCCAGGCACCCCTTATGTTATCTTTTAAAAAGCAAGAGGCACATAATTCAATATACTACTGCTCATTCAACATAGATACCAAGAGCAATTACTTGTTGGAATAGATATTCCAACATTAAAAGGTTCTCTTTGTGATTAACGTTCCACATACATTACTGTTATTCTAAAGCCAAAACATAATCTGAAGCAGGAAAAAAAGGAGAGAGAGACAAGTTGGGAAGTTCTCAGAGGTTTTCACTTCTTAACTTTATACACGTAAGATGTTTAAAATGCAAATATGGGTAGTAACAGAATGTACATATGACATATTCTTAACTAAGTTCACTCCTATTATTTATAAGCTAATAATTGAAGAAAAATCATTTTGAGAGGACATTATCTTTCATTTAATTTCAAGGGTTCTACTCAATGGAAAACTCCCGTCTTCCAAAGTCAGTTGAAACCCTTCATAAAACACCATTTGACTATTCAATAGTAGGAATCGCATTGAAAGAAATTGCAATATAGTTGTTCAAGACTTGACTCATCAGAATTTATATATGCAAAGATTTTATTGACCTCAGAGTCAATGGAACTTCAGGCAGAAATTTTGCCTGAGCAAACACAGCTGAATCAGGCCTCACATGAATTAATTTAGTGCCTATCTGCAATATAGATTGGCGATCTTCCAGAATGAATATGTAAGTTGAAAGGAGTCTGGCTTCTAAGTGTAAGCCTGCACTGCTTGTTATTCCTCCTTAGCAATATCAAGAGAAGTATAAATCTATTGTTAAGGGAGGCAGAAATTCTCTGACATAAAATACCTTTATCCAATGATTAAACTAAACTCAATGCTTAGATTTTAGCTGAAGGTTTTGGTGTGGTGATGTTATTAAAGAATTTGGCTGGTTTCAAAAAGATATGAATTTAGAGATAGACCCGTGGTTCCCAGAAGAAATGGGGAAGTGGAGACTAAAGCAGGGGCATATTGTAAGAGTAGCCTAAATATAAGGGTGAGATCAAGTGAAAAATGGATAGGGTACAAGAAATCAATGCAAGGTAGTCTAGGTCACTGGGGTACAGCCACTAATGAGAGCTACCATTTATTGAGAAGTAGCTCTTTTGCCACGGGCAGAGTCTAGAGAAGATGCACAGAAATGGCATCTCACAAAGGGAAGGAAAAGAAGGAAGAAAAGGCCATCTGCGTTGGAAGTTAAAATAAGTGATACATTTTCCAAGGACTTTATTTGTTTTGACTTATTGAATACTCACATTGATCTTATGAATTCGGTGGCATTAATATCTCCAAACGACAAATGAGGGAAATAAAGTAAAAGAAATTAAGTAATTGTCCAAACTTGTGTAAGCGGTCAGTGTCAAAGTCAGGATCCAAACCCAGAGCATATGATGAAAGTGCTCATGTCTTAATGAGTATATAATACTTTCCTTCTCAAGCATATGTCTACATTTGGCAAATGATGAAGGAGAGTCAGACCAAGAACTGGACTAACTTTATATTAATGCTCTGAATATTTAACATCATTTTCCAAATTTCATTACTCCAAGAAGAAAATGGTCTATAGGTAGTAAAGTATTAAATGTCAGTTCTGAAGCTATACCTTCTCTGCTAGCAAAGCCAGGAGGAAAAAAAATAACCTAGAAGAGAACTTCAAGTATATATTCTAGTGATTTGAACCAGATCTGCTAGTAAAAATTTTAATGATATTAAGAGCAGAAAGAAAAGTCTCTAAGCTATAAAGTTGCTTTATCAGGATATAGCTCATATTTCCATATTGTAAACAAACATAGAATTTATAGATTTATGGGATATAACTGGACAGGGGACGAGGGGTAGTCGGATAACCTGGATGTTTAAGGAGTATAAAACATAGATATTCCAACATTAAAAGGTTCCCTTTGTGATTAACGTTCCACATGCATTACTGTTATTCTAAAGCCAAAATGTGATCTGAAGCAGGAAAAAAAGAGAAGAGAGAGAGACAAGGTTGGAAGTTCTCAGAGGTTTTCACTTCTCAAAGAAAACGATGCTTTGTCCCTGTTTTGCATTTTGCACAACTTTTATATCATTCGTAACATTTTTGATTGGGTAACATCCCTGATTCGTTAAATTAATTTTAGTAATTCAATCCATTGTCCTAACAGTTGGCAGCAAGTGAATTAATTGTCTTCTAGAGCTATAAATCATTATGTCTAAGACAGTATTCAGTTAAACAAAAAAGAGTGGGAGGTATTAAAGGTAAGTGGCAATAATTTGATATCTATAGTTGTCTATATATGTTTTAGATGAAGAGGTGAAAAATGAGGCAAGTTAAAAGTGAATGTATTACCAGTGTAATTTGGAGGAAACTGACATATCTAAGAGAATTTACTAAGTGAATAAACATAGAATATCAAATAAAAGGAAAGTGAGCAAACATAATTTTTGATGGCTTTTTGTTAGAAGCTCTGTTGGAATCTAGAAGGAAAGTAATTAAAATTGATTTCTCCTATTACCGTAAATCCTACCAATACCATCACTATATTGTGTAACAAAGGATCTGTAGGTTTAGAGGTATAATTAAATAAAAACCAGATGACAAAATATTTAATAAGCCTGATTTGAAACTCCTCATGTGGTTTCATA